GCAGCAGCAGCAGAGGACTTTGGGGGTTTGTTTGTTCTTTTGTCTGTTTAATAAATTGTGTCTGCGTTCTCAGTCAATGCTTCTTTAGTTCTTTGCTGCTCTCCATTTGCAATCCTTTTTTGCTGCTGCTTTGCTGCTGCAGTGCTGCTGTTGGCACTTGCTGCTGCTGCGTCGCTTCGCTGCTGCTTCTTTGCTGCTGCTGCTTTGCTGCTGCCACGCAATTCGTTTTTCCCCCTTCAGGGCTTTTTTAACTGCAGCAAGATTTAGAAAGTTATCAAAAAAATGAAATCGAATTTTATTCATTTAATGAAGATTAGGCACAATAAAAGGACTCTGCATGCATTCACTTGAGGGCTACAGGGCTGCTGCAGCGTTGCTGCTGCTCCTGTCCTGCTGCTGCTGTTGCAGTTGTGCTGCTGCTGCTGCAGCGGAGTAGCTGCGCTTTGAGGTGTACAGACACCGCGCAGAGTGTGGCGCAGCTTCGGCAATTAGAATCCACTTTCCACTTTTAGGAATTCAAATTAAAGTCCTTTTTAGGCCGCAGCACTTCAGATCTTTGGTGTTTGGATTATATTTCTCCCTTTTGTCTTTTTTTTTCCATTTTGTCTTTTTCTTTTTTGTGGCTGTGAGTCCTCTACATGTCCATTTCTGTATATACGCTGCACACCGCATGCATATATTCGTAAAGAAGTAAGTATATATATATACTTGAAGTATCAGTATGTTCACAAATGAGCCTTTAAGTCACTTTTGTTTCCATTAAAAAATTCAACGAAGGCGCGCGGGTGTACATACACCCCAACGCAGAGATATTTATTTGCTGCGAAATGCGTCTAAATAAATTCAAATATGAATTTAAAGTATAAAAGAAGTCGCAAATATATTTTAAATTCTTTTTCATCACTCCTGAGGGCTGCAGGGGCTCTGTTTAGCCTTGCGAAGTTGAGGTGTACGTACACCTCAGAACTCGCGCAGCATGCGCCCTCAGAACGAAATAGGAAATCAAATTCAAAACTAATTTGTTAAAAAGAGACAAAATATGTTTGCTGGAATGCATGTATTTGGCATTTTGTCTCTCTTGAAATGCATGCAACTCGCTTAAAAACCCTGCTGCTGCTGCTGCAGCTCCGCGGCAAGACGCACTGCCGGAATCAGCTAGCTAGCCAGCTAGCTGGCTAGCTAGCTAGCCAGCTAGCTACTCAGCCAGCTAGCTAGCTGAGTGATACAGCAGCTCGCTACGACGCTAGCTAGCTAGCTAAAGAGCTGGCCAGCCAGCTAAAAGTAAGCCTCCAAATTGCCAGTAAGCTAGCCAGCTAGCTAGCTAGCTAGCTAGCTGGCTAGCTACTTAGTTAGCCAGCTAGGTAGCTAGCCAGCTAGCTAGTTAGCTAGCTAGGTTATACTTTGCGTATCTCCCGCATAAGGAGCTCCAGAGAGTCGCCTGCGGGGCAGCAAAAGGGCGCATGCAGCAACACTTTAAAGTATTTTAATTGTGAATAAATAAATGAATAAATAATAAACAAATAAATAAATAAATAAATAAATAAATAAATAAATAAATAAATCTGGCAAATGAGCAAATAAATCAACTGATGAAACTCGCGACAAAATCCAACAAGGGAGCCACAAAGAAAGTTTAGCAGCAACAGCAGCAGCAACAGCAGCAGCAGCAGCAGCCGCAGCAGCAGGAGACGTTACCCAAGAAAGCAGCATTTTGATTCAGCTCCGGAAAGATATTTGCTTCCAAGCAGCAAAAGTCCCCAACCAGCCTCTCCGGCCCCACAATTGCCTTCAGTTGCTGCTGCTGCCTGCAGCGGCAGCAGCAGCAGCAGCAGCAGCACCTCAATGTCTCATGCATGCATGCATGCATGGCAAATTTATGTGGGGTTTGACTGGATCTGAGAAAAGCCGCAGCTAAAGAAGTGTTTACAGACGCAGCTGCAAAGGCCTCTCCCCTCGAAGTAGCTTAGGGTTTAGGGTTTAGGGTTTAGGGTTTAGGGTTTGGGGTCTCACGCTGCAGTCAGGTTTAAGTCTTTTAGCCGAAATGAAACTTGACAAGCCGAGGGCCTCTCAGGGGCCACTTGGGGGCCCCCCCAAACCACCTGCACGCGCCGCGCATGCACTGCTGGATGCACGCATTACTGCTGCTGCTGCTGCTGCTGCTGCTGCTGCTGCTGCTGGCGCTGCTGCTGCTGCTGCTGCTGCTGCTGCTGCTAGTGTTTAAATCAATAGACTTACGCTGTATCTCAAGGAGTGGCGAAAGTGGAAACGGTCATGGACTGAATCGCAGCAGCCGCAGTTCAGGTGTACGTACACCTCAGCAGCAGAGGTGCCTATACACCTGAGCGCAGCCGTTTGGCCAGCAGCAGCGGGACGCCAAAGTGGCGATTCCTTTTCGTTTTTTTTTCCATTTGGGTATTAAAAAGGCAAATTAATTGAATTTTTTTGACCATTTGAAGCTCAGTTCGTCGAATTAGTTGAATTAATTGGCTTTTTCCAGCTTTTCTCACGCAAAGACCGAGGCAGCCGCGCCTGGTGCTGCATGCGCGTCAACGGAGTCACAAACTGCCGCCCTTGCGGCTTCCGCTGCGATCCCTCGGGGCCCTCGCTGCATGCAGCGTCGTGGGTGAGGCCCAGCAGCCGATTCAGCTGCAGCAGCAGCAGCAGCAGCAGCAGAAAGAGCAACAGATTAAGGGCCCCACGCATGCATGCATGCGTGCGTGCGTGCGTGCATGCGATTATGCATGCGTGCATGCATGCGCTAGGCGAAAGAAGACACCCCGACTCGTTTGCACAAGAGTACAGGCAGCAGCAGCAGCAGCGGCAGAAGCAGGAGCAGCGGAAGCAGCAAGAAAAGGCAGAAGAGAAGCTTATCAAAAGAAAAAGAATTAAATGCAAGAAATGTGAGCATTTATGTGATCTTTTAATTTAATTTGAAGAAACTGAAAAGACTTTTGCTGCCTCATGCACCGCAGGATCTGGGGTGTATGCGCAGACACCCGCGGATGCTGGGGTGTACGTGCAGCTCCCCTTGACGAAACGGGCTCAAAAGAGCGCGTAAAAACGCCAAACAAATAAAATAAATTAAGTAAATTAAATAAATTAATAAAATAAATGAATTTGGCGAATTAAATGCAGAAGTTTAATGCAATTTACTCGGTATTTGTTCCGAAATGCAAACATTCGCGAAGTTTTGCGGCCCCGCAACGCCCGCAAAGTCTCCAGCCGAATCGAAGCAGCAACAGCAGCAGGCGGCTGCGGAGTTGCTGAGTAGTCTTCCAGGCGCAGCGGCGGAGTCCTAAACACCCAAACCCTAAACCCTAAACCCTAAACCCTAAGCCCTGAACCCTGAACCCTAAGGCCCTGCGCCCCCAAGCCCTAGTCCCGAAGTCCCAGACCCTTGCGCGTTCAAACGGCAAAACCACTCCAAAAAGACCCCAAACCCCAAACCCTAAACCCCAAACCCTAAACCCTAAACCCTAAAACCTAAACCCTAGCTGCAGCAGGACTAACGAAGCCTTGGTCTCGAGTTGTTCTGCATTCTTTTTTTGGACTTCTTTTTTCCCGCGTTTCTTTTTGGCGCGAATTGCGGTGTACATACACCCCAGAGAACCCAGGGGGCCCCCCCCAACCCTCGCAAGGGCCCCAACTTCGGGGGGCCCCCCAAACCCTTTTTCGTTGCTTCCCAAAGAGGTATCCACGCTGCAGGGGCCCTGCAGCACTGCGGCCTGCCGCTGCTTCCCCGCTGCGCTCGAGAGGGGCCCCCCTGCTGCTGCTGCTGCTGCTGCTGCTACTGCTTGAAAACGCGGCTTCTGGGGCCCCCGGGGGCCCCAAGGGCCCCCCGCTTGCTGCTGCTGCTGCTGCTGCGGGTGGAGAGTCCACGCAGGCGAGCTGGGGGAAATGCACATAAGGCAGGAAACGCGGCGTTCAAGAAGCTGCTGCTGCTGCTGCAGCTGCTGCTGCAGCTGCTGCTGCAGCTGCTGCTGCAGCAGGCGGCCGCAGCCGCGGGTGGCCATTTGGCCCTTCCAAATGAACTTCGCAAGGAAGGAATTCAAGATGAAATGTGATGCAAAAAGACCAAGAAATGCAGAGAACGAAGGAAATGCAGCTCCTTATCAATTAGCAAACATTAAAAACGGTCTAAAATGTATTTAAAATAAATAAATTGAATTTAATCCGCCACTTTTCCTCCGCGGCGACGAGGCGGCGCTTCTGGCTGCGAGCACGCTGGGGTGTACATCCAGCTCCCCACCCACGATCCTCGTCTTAAAACTCTTTTCAGCTCATTTTAGAAGTCAAATTTATTTTATTTTTAATTTAATTTACTTAAAAAGGACTTTTAAATGCGGGATCGCCGGGCTACTCTCCCGCCTCGGGGCTGCTGCGCAGGGCTGCGGCTGGAGCCTTTCTTGCAGCAAAATCGCCGCGATTGCGAATTTGAATAAAATTTTTTCTGAAATGTCCTTTTAATTTATTTAAATGTCATTTAAACGTCTTTTAAAACTCAAAATGGGGGAAAATTCGCTTCTTGAACGGCCAGATCGGGAAAATACCATTCAGGAAATGCCTAAAACTCCCTCCCCTTCAAAGGCTGCAAAAATTTCAAATTTTCAAATTTTTTTGTTTTCTCTTCTCATTGAGCTGCAGTGTACGTACACCTCATGGACCCACTTGCATGCAACTCTTTGAGGGCCTCTCCAAACAAACTCGAACTTCTTCAGAAACTTTTAATTCTTTAAAGCAGCAGCAGCAAATGCAGCCACCGCTGCTGCTCTTCTGATGCCTAGACAGAGAAGCCTTTCCCCAGCGGGGTCCCCCCCGGGGCCCTCGGGGGCCCCGGGGGCCCCCGAGGGGCCCCCCAGGGGCTCCTCGGGGGCCCCCTGTGGGGCCCCCGGGGCCCCCAACGACAGGGGGGCCCCCGAGAGGGCTGGCAGAGGGAGGCTGGGGGCTTTAAGCC